TGGATCCTCTCGTCCGTCGACATCACCAACGAACAGGGCGAGGTTCGCTTTCTCTCTTCCCCCCCCCTCTTTCTCTTCTCTTTCGTTTTTGTTCCCCCTCTTTTTTTTCCTGTCGTTGGCACGGACGCCCGGACCTTCGCCTCGCATTCACCCCACGAGGCAAGGCGCCGGGGTCATGGTCAAGCGTCCACACGCGCCGCATCTTGCGCGCCGTGTGCGCTCCTCCCCGTCTTCTCCGGAAGAATGTGGGAGGCACGTGCCTAGATCAAGAAGAACCCATGACGAGTACAAGGGCTCGCAGCAACTAATGTTGCGCTGCAGAGTTGTATATACTCGACACATCTCACTCTAAATTTATATATACATTTATATATCGAAATATATATACTACAACACTATTCACTTGTGGACTGACTTGTCACTCGTGTGTGCGGCCGCAGGCAAGCGAGCCGTGGTCGACCATCGAACCCCATCTGTCCACGGCGCAGCGCATGATCCGCCTCGCCCACTGGCACGAAAAGCACTTTTCCGCCCTCGCGCCCGCTTCCTGACACCCTCGAAGAAACAACATCGCTCGCACGTGCAATCTCTCTCTCTCTCTGTGTGTGTGTGTGTTGGAGAAAAAGAACGTTCACACCAAAAGGGAGGTGGTCGCGGCTGCTGGACATTTTTCACGCTCTACCGAATGAGCTAGCCGGGCTGCGCACACCGGTGGTGTGTGCTTTTGGTGCCCGGCCTTGGGATCGAACCAAGTACCTTGAGATTATGAGTCTTCGATGAACCAGCGTGCCCTGTTGCACCTCGCCAAAGAAGCAAAAAAAGACTTGCTTCTTTCTTCGTTTTCCTCGTTGGGTGATCTATCTACAATTAATATAAGTTTGTGTGGCCTACAAAGGGGCGCTCAAGGAAGGTAGGTGACGCGGAGAGGGACGGCCTTCTCCAGTTCCCTTTCACGGAACTCGCCGGGCTGGAGGGTCTCTTGATGGGCTCCCTTGTTGTTCTCAAAGTGACGGTCGAACCTCGGCTGGTGGCGGTAGTTGTGCGCCATGGTCCTGTGCGCCTCGTCGGGGAAGTGCTTGTTGATGCGCGCGTACCACTTCTCGGTGCGCTGGCTCGTGGTCGACACCAGCGACACGCCGCCCAGCTGCAGGCTCATGCTGGGCGTCTCGGACGTCGCGGCCCTGACCAGCTCGGCTCGGAAGAGGCGGCGCGCGCAGGTGGTGTTGGGCAGCTCGAAAGCGAGCTTCACCTGCCTAACCTTCCGACTTGGACCGTTGCCCCGAACAGCCCAGGAGAGCTTGGGCACGGCGGGCATCTCCCACCTGACCCGGCCCTTGCGACGGTCGATCAGGCGGAGGCGGTACAGCTCGAGGTGCCGGGCGTGGTCGCGCCTGAAGGCGTAGAAGCAGAACCAACCGATGGTGCCCTTCTCGCCCATGGTCGGCCCCGAGTAGCCCAGCACATCCGCATCCGAAAATTCGTTCGGCTGCTCAGCAACCACTTCGGCCGAAGTCGGTGCACTGTCCGCGTTCGGGGGCTCCACCTGGGCCACCTCCCCCTCGCCAGCTTCCATGGCTGCTTCGTGGTCCGGCGGCTGGTGGGCGGGAATGACCGAAACCTGGCCATCGAGGTAGTTGTTGTGGTCATCGTCGTCGTTGTGGTCCTGTTCGTAGTCGTAGTCGACCTGGACGTCGTGGGGCACCACTTGGTCAAGGAGGACGCTGAGCGGGGGCGGAGAGGGAGGAGGAGAGGCAATGCATGGCGGTGAAGGCAGCACGGGCGGTAAACTGGGCACGACGAGCTGGTTCGGAGGCACGAACCCGTACGCCTCCTCTGCGTTTTGTTCGCAGCCCAGCCCGAAGATCATCGCCTCAAGCTTGAAGTCGTCGCTCAGCTCGAGGTCGCTGTCGCAGTCGAAGTTGTTGTTCATGGTGATGAGGTGGTGGGTAGTGTGTTGGGGTCGAAGTAAGTTTGTTCTGTTCGTGTTCGCTGTGCTTTGTGGAAATGGAGCCAGTTGGGGCTTCCATTTCTACCTTTCCTGAAGCCCCACCCTGCACCTTGTGAGGGCTTGAGCTGCCTCGCGTGATTGGTTAGTTCGTGTAAAACTGTCTACATCAAAGTTGCCTGCCTTCCGTCGAACAAACCTCCCACTCTGCATTCCTGAAAAGGTGAATCCAACCGGAATTATATGTTAAAATATATGTATTGGGGTTAAGCCAAACATGTTCTGTACATCACGGCAACGCGTACACTAGTACTATGCGGGGTGTTCTGCGTCCGTGACGAGTCGTGGTGGCCTCGCTTCCACAGCGTCCACCACCCTTCACTTCCCCTTTTCTGCTCCTCTTCCTCCCCTTCCGCTTCATCTACTGAGCCTCCTCCGCGATGAGGGCCAGGATGCGCCTGTTCGCCACCGTGTGCCGCCTGTTCTGGCTGCGCCCCTCCGTTCGTGGTCCGTTCTTGCGCTCGACACTTCGCCAGCCCTCGCGCTTGGTCGGTCGCACGGTCGCCTGGTCCTCCTCGCCCACCTCCAGCGGCATCATCGTGTCCAGCGCGTGCGCTTCGTTGATGACGGCAGCGGCCTCAGCGATGACGGTGGTCGTGCTGTTGCTGTTGTTGTCCTGCTCGGCTTCGGCTTCGGGTAGCTCGAGCCGGCGCCGCTTGATCGGAGTGGTGGCGGGCGCGAGCACTTCGAGCAGGGTGGCCTCTTCGTCGAGCAGATCGGCGGTGCGGCTGCGGTGGAGGACGCGCGTGCCGACCGGTCGCATGGGCGACACCAGCGCGCGAGCGGGCGACGCCACGGCGACTGCGACGGCAGCAGAGATGGCCGTCGACAGCGCCTCGGCAGAGACAGGCGTAGATAGGAGAGGCGCGGCAGCGGCGGTGGCGGCCGAGTGCTGCTGCGGGTAGGCCGGCAGCGGGCCGCGGTGCGGCGTATAGGACATGCGGCGCTTGCGCGAGTCGATGGCGGCCTCCTGGCCGGCCACCAGTCGGTGGCTGCCGGTCGTGCGTACGGCCGAGGGGGTGGTGGGCTGCGACACGGTGCCACCGCGGGCGACGTGGTGGCTGATGCTGGCCCGGGGGCGCTTGAGAGTCGGCTGCTGCAGGTCACCGGCCCTAGTGACGGCTCCGTTGGCGGCCACGTCGTTCTCCTTCTCGCTCTCCTCGCGGTCCTTGCGCTTCTTCTGCAGCAGACGCGCGGGGATGCCCAGGCCGCCGGACGAGGTGGTCACGGCGGGGGCGGCCCGCACTGGGGCGGCAGCGGCGGCCGGGCTGGCCTGCTTGCTCTGGCCCAGCTTGTTCTTCATACGCGACACGTAGTCGGTGATGCCCTCCTTCTTGTTGAACTCCCTGGCGTGCGCGGCGTCAAAGTCGACGCGCTTGGGCTTCTCCGCGACGGCGGAAGAGGTCTGGGCGAGGGCACGAGCCGACGCCGCGGGGCCTTTGGCAGGCCGCTTGGCGGCGGGCATCGGGGTAGCCTGCCTCGGGGCGGCGGCCACGCTCAGCGAGGCCGACGGGCGCGCGGGGCCGGTGGCGGTGGTGGTAGGCCGCACGGGCGTCGATGCGGCATGGCCGGCTCTGGCCAAGCTGGGAGCCAGCGACATGCGGCGCGACGGAGCTCCAGCCGCAGCGGCGGGGGCAGCCTTGTTGGCCAACAGTGCCGACGGCGCCAGGGACGCACGCCTGGAGGAAGGCATGACGGCGGTGGCGGTGGTGATGACGGGCGGCGCGGCCGAGGCCGAGGCCGGCGCGGGTCGCTTCTTGGCCGTCATCTCAGCGGCGGCGGCCATCGACCGGCGCATGGAGGAGATGGTGGGGCGCGCGACCGAGGGCTGAGGCGCCATCGACAGGCGGCGCTTGGCCACCCGCTTGCCGGTCGGGGCCTGGGCCGACAGCGAACCCGCAGCTCGCACCTGAGCTCGAGCGGACGCAGAGACCACGGGCGAGGCCGGGGCCGAGGTCTTGACGGCAGCGACGGCGACAGAGGCAGTGGGCTGCGGCTGGCACGCCACCTCCTCGGCAGTCTCGACGGCGGCCTCCTGCTGCTCCTGCTGCTCTTCTTCTTGCTGCTGCTGCTGCTGGGCGTTGTGGTTCGCCTCGTCCTCGAGCATCATCTCATCGACGGACTCGAGCGACTCCTCAGCGGGCCTCCCATCCTGGTCCCCGTCCTCCTCCTCTTCGTCGTCCATCGCGGGCTCGCGGAGACCGTCCTGCTCGTTGGCCTCGTCGTGGCCCTCGGCTGGCCCCTCCTGCTCCTCGTCCATGCTGTCGGCGTCGGCCCCGTCGTCGAACGGACCCTCCTCGTCGTCAGCTTCGTCGTCGACGTACTCCATCTCCTCCTCCTCGTGTTCTTCGTCTTGAGCGATGTTGTTGCTGTTGCTGTTGGGGATGTCGATGGTCACCGCCGTCTCCTCCTCGCCCACGCTGACATCCTCTTGCTGGGCGTCCTCCTCGAGGCCGAGGGAGACGGCGCTGTCCATGCTGGCCTCCTCGACCGACTCGGCCTCCTCGCGGCTGTTGTCTTCTTCATCATCGCAATCATCTTCATCTTCATCGTCAGGCTGCACCATGTCTTCTTCCGCCTCCTCGTAGACGACCTCGCCACTGACGTCGCCGTGGGGCATGTTGGCGAAGCTGTTGTCGCAGACCTGCGGGGCGGTCGCAGCCTCGTCTTCTTGTTCTTGTTCGGGGGCGGCCTGTTCTTCGACCGCCACCTCTTCCTTCGCCTCTTCGACGACGGTGGTGGGCTGGCGGTTCCTGCGCCTGGCCACGCGCTTGGGCTTGACCTCCTCCACTACCACCTTGACCTCTTCCTCTTCTTCCTCGTGCTCCTCGCTCTCCTTCCCCTTGTCTTCCTCCGCTTCTTCGGACTGTTCCTGCTCGTTCTGCTCTTCGTTGTTTTCTTCTTCCTTGGTCTCTCCCCTGTGTAGTGATGAAGATTTGATGTTAATTTGGATTGCCATTTGGATGTGGGAGTGGCTCTACAAGATCAAGTTTGGTTTTGTTTCAAACGGTTGGGCGGAGCGGTGGGACGTACTCATCGGCATGTGCGGTGTGGTAGTCACGCAGCAGATCTACGAGCACGGCTTTCTGTGCACGACAATCCCCTTGTTAGCAAAGGTTTTAGGGATGATGGATAACTTGAACTTGTGGCAACAGGCCAACCTTCTGATTGGCACGGATGCCGATACGCTTGCACAGAGCCTGGATGTCCCTGTACGCCATGTCCTCAAGTGCATCTACGTCGAAATTGATGTCGGCCATTTTCTCTAGTGTCTTTACGTTGTAATCGTCGTTGTCTTGCGTCGGGTCGGTTCCTCGTCGTCGTTCCGGCTGTCGTCCTCCTCGTACCTCCCTCACCCTCGATTCAATCCACTCTCTTCTGTTGTTGGTTCTCGAATCAGCGCAATGGCCTTCCCTCGGGGCAAGCCTTGACCCGTTGCACCCTTTCGCGCCAAAACGAAACGAAACGCGTTGCACAAATATTTTGGCGCGGAGGCAACCGCCGCTCAAGAATTTCAACAATATTAGTTTTTTTTGTTTTGAAGAATGAATTCCTTCGCCCCAGGACCATCCATGAGGGAAAGGCAGTGCACATCAATGTCCTGCACTGATCTGCCTGTAAGCAGGCAAAAAGTCGTGGCGTGAACGGTGTTGATACTGCCTGGTGGAAGAGAAAAAAAGCGCAATACGGGCGAATTTATTTAATCAATTTTCTTGGTAACTAAGGATACGGCTTGAGCAACCACGTGCCAAAGATGGGTGTAGCCTGGGGGTAGACGGGTTACGCGGTGCTTATTGCTGTCTTGGCGTTGAAAACTCAACCCTCAGTTTGCCCCTCAACCTCAGCTCTCATCCATCGGCGAGATTCGAAGAGAAAGGCCGTGAAGGGGGTACGCGTCTTTTTGTATGCGTGATCAGATGTTTCATTCTTTTTCAATTCCAATTTAATGGACGGTTAATCGCGATTCATTGAATTCGGTTTACAACTCTCATTCTCGGCAACCCTCCCCTCCCTGAAGTAGTACTATATGACAACGGGCCATAGAGCCTTGACCCAAAAGTCGGAGCATGTCGGCGATGGATCTCGCCGCCAATCGCAGGCTCAGCTCGCCCCACTGCAGCCAGCGTGATACCTCGTACGCCTCATGCATCAATTCTTTTTGTTGTTAGTTTTTATTTTTATTTTTAATAAACAAAATCACTTGATGTAATTGATGAGAAGCCTGTGTAGTCTACTTCTTATCATTTCTCGGCAACTCTCTCCCGCGGTCCTCGAGTTGTTGCTTGTGGGTCTACAGCGCCAAAATGGGCCTGTCATTTGTTGTCTGTGTGGCGGCGCTACTGACAGCCCTTTCTCTGTCTGTCCACACCACAGGCCAAGAAACTTCGACATTGGGAGCTACACAGCGACTGACCTCATCTACGAGAGCAAGAAGACAAAGATCTATCGCGCGGTCAAGGGCAAGGCCAAGTTTGTAATCAAGACCGTCAAGTCCGATTCCCCCACGCCGGCTGATCTGGCCAGCCTGCGACACGAATACGCCGTGCTCAAGGACCTGCACATCGAAGGCGTCGTGCAGGCCGTTCAGCTCGAGAGCTTTGGCAGCGGTCTCGCCCTCGTGCTCGCCGACTTCGAGGATGGACGAACGCTGCGCCAGGTACGCAGCGCTGACTACGTGTCTGTCCTGCTGTTGCCGCCGCTGGTTTGCATGGCCGCGAGAGTAACCATCACCCCTATCATCACCATCATCATTGCGTGCAGATCATCCACGAGCGACGGATGCAGGTGGACGAGCTGCTCAGCGTGGGGATTGAGTTGGCCCGCGTGCTGGGCGAACTGCACAAGCAGGGCGTTATCCACAAGGACATCAAGCCGGACAACATACAGTACAACGAGCGCTCGGGCCGCGTGCAGCTCATCGACTTTGGCATCTCCACGCGACCCTCTGTCGAGCCGTGCTCCAAGCAGCGCACGCTCGAGGGCACGCTGGCCTACATGTCGCCCGAGCAAACCGGACGCATGAACCGCCTGGTCGACTATCACACAGGTACGCCTCCCGTGCGGCATGCGCCTTGCAAAGCTCGCATTCCTTGGATTCCAAGAGTTTGCGTGTCACTAACCGACCACACGCACACATGCAACTTACGCACGCACGCACAGATTTTTACTCGCTCGGGGTGACGTTATTCGAGCTTCTAACGCAGCAGCAGCCCTTCATCGCTACTGAAGCGCTGGGCTACATCCACTGCCACATGGCCAAGCCGCCGCCCAACCCGTGCGACATCATCATTGCGCGCGAGGGCGAACGCCGAGCTGCCGCCGCAGTGCGTGTGCAACGTGCTCAGCAAGCTGCTGGCCAAGACGGCCGAGGAGCGCTACCACAGCGACGACGGCCTGCTCATGGACCTCCTCTTCCTCCAGTCGCGCATCGCGCTCGTGCAGGCCGGATCCAAGGCCGCCGCGCGCGAGCTGGGCGAGTTCAAGGCCGGCCGGATGGACAAGGAGAGCCGCTTTACGCTGAGCCACAAGCTCTACGGGCGGGCGGACGAGGTGAGCCGTCTGCTCGACTCCTTCACGCGAGTGGAGGGGGCGCCGTGGAGGCGGTCATGGTGCGTGGCTACAGCGGCATCGGCAAGTCGTCGATCATCAACGAGGTCCACAAGGCCATGGTGCGCGGCGCAATACCCGACGCTGACCAGCACACCAGCAGCACCACCAGCCGCCGCCGGCGCAAGGGCTACTTCATCACATGGAAGTTCGACCAGCTGTGCAAGAGCACGGCAAGCGTGGTGCTGGCCTTTGACGACCTTATCGAGCAGCTGCTGAGCGAGGGCCAAGAGACGGTCAACGTGTGGGCCGAGCGCATCCGCGAGGCCGTGGGGGCCAACGGGCAGCTGCTGGTGGAGCTGCTGCCGGAGCTGCAGGTGGTGATCGGGCCGCAGGCGCCGGTGGCCGAGCTGGGCCGGGCGAGGCCCAGAATCGGTTCAACCGCACCTTCCAGCAGTTCGTCCGCGTCTTCTGCGCGGCACCGCACGAGCGGGCCGCTGGTGATGTTCGTGGACGACCTCCAGTGGGCCGACGTGGCCTCGCTCAAGCTGCTCGAGCTCATCGCCTCCGACGCCGATCAGAGCCACTTCATGCTGATCGGGGCCTACCGCGACAACGAGGTCGACGCCACGCACCCGCTGTGCGCCACCCTGCGCCAGCTGGCCGGCAACGGCGTGCGGATCACCGACATCGAGGTGAAGCCGCTCGGGCGCGAGCACGTGATGGCGCTCGTGGAGGACACGCTGCGGTGCGGCCGCGAGCGGGCGAGCGGGATGGCGAGCCTGCTCGAGGAGAAGACGAGCGGCAATCCGTTCTTCATCAACCAGCTCCTGCGCTCCTTCCACAGCGAGGGCCTGCATTCCACTTCACGTTCGACGACATGGCGCCGGTGCCGAGCGACGACGACGAGGCCGCCGGCCGCGGCCAGCACGACACTGGTGGCGGGCAGTGGGACTGGGACCTGGAGGAGCTGCGGCGCGCGGCCGTGACCGAGAACGTGGTCGACCTGATGGTGAAGCAGATCCAGCGCCTCGGCGTCGAGGCGCAGCAGATCCTGCAGCTGGCGGCGGCCGTCGGCGATCGGTTCTCGCTCGACACGCTCGGCGTGGTGGCCGAGACGGCGCCCGAGCAGGCCGAGCAGCTGCTGCTCGAGCCCCTGCACGCGGGCCTCATACTGCAACTCAACTCGCGCTACAGCGTGTTCGCGCCGACGCCGGACGACTCGAGTCCACTGAGCACGCCGCGCGGCGGTGACCTGGGCTGCCGCACCTACAAGTTCCTGCACGACCGCGTGCAGCAGGCGGCCTACTCCCTCATCCCTGAGGACCAGCGGCCGGCCATGCACCTCCACATCGGCCGGCGGCTGCTGGCCCACGCCGGCGACGACGAGGCCAAGATCGACGAGGAGCTCTTCGCCATCGTCAATCAGATCAACATCGGCGTCGACCTCATCATGGCCGGCGGCGGCAGCAGCACTGACAGCGCCGACGCGCTAGTCGAGGAGTCCACGAGCAAAGAGTCGGAGGCGGATGGGGCGACGCCTATGCCCGAGAAGGAGCGGGTGGCGCGGCTCAACTTTGCCGCGGGAAAGAAGGCGCGGGCGTCGATGGCCTACCATGCCGCGGTCAAGTACCTCGACATCGCCATCCGCCTCCTGGGCGCCCACATCGCCGATCCACCGGGTGAGGGCGAGGGCGAAGTCGGTGGGCCGGTGGACGTCGGTGGACCCGACGCCGACAGCGACGCCTGTTGGAGCAAGGAGAGGCGAGCGCTGACGATGGAAGTGTTCCTCGAGGCCAGCGTCGCCCAGTTCCTCAACACGGACTTTGCCAGGGCCGAGCAGCTGTGCACCACCATGCTGCGACACGCCGTTACGCGGGTGGAGAAGGTCACGGTCCCGAGCTCCAGATGCAGTTCCACATCCAGCAGCACCAGATGCGGGCGGCGCTCGACATCGGGCTCGCGGCGCTGGAGATGCTTGGCGTGGGGCTGGTGGTCGATCGACCGACGCTGCAGCTGAGCGACGAGGAGTACTGCGAGGGCCTGCCGGAGATGAAGGACAAGGCCATGCTGGCGGCCATGCGCATTCTGATGAACCTGGCCGCACCCACCTACGTCCTCGAGGTACCCTCCCCTGTCTCATCATGTTTGTGCGTGTCGTGGCGTTGGTCGTGTCGTGGCGTTGGTCGTGTCGTGTCGTGTCGTGTCGTGTCGTGTCGTGTCGTGTCGTGTCGTGTCGTGTCGTGTCGTGTCGTGTCGTGTCGTGTCGTGTCGTGTCGTGTCGTGTCGTGTCGTGTCGTGTCGTGTCGTGTCGTGTCGTGTCGTGTCGTGTCGTGTCGTGTCGTGTCGTGTCGTGTCGTGTCGTGTCGTGTCGTGTCGTGTCGTGTCGCACGTTGCCTTTTGACATTCTCTCGATTTGAATTCATGGCAACGAAAAGCCGGCGCTGAACCTGCGGGTGGCGTTCACGATGGTGACGCTGGCGATGGAGCGCGGCACGTCGGGCCTGGCCGCGTTCGGCTTTGGCCTCTACGCGCTGGCCAGCTTCCTGTTCAACCTCGACGAGGGCTATCGGGCAGGCATCATCCGTTGCGTCTGATGGAGAAGTACAAGGCCGTCGAGCTCACGGCCAAGATGTACGGCCTCTTCTACGCCCACGTCGACGTCTGGTACGCGCAGATTGCTCCCCCCAATCACATGCTCGTATCCCATTGGATGGCCATCTAAAACACCGACCAGGCGCAACCATATTCGAGGGACGCTGCAGCACTTGGAACGCGCCATTCACGTGGGCCTCGAGACCGGCGACCTCGAATGGGCCGGCTACGATTCGGTTCGTGCCACCCGACACCAGTTTTTTCCCCGTTTTTCAACGTGTCGCCTCTCCGCTCACTGCTGGCGCAAACTGCAGTTCTACTACTGCGATCACCTGTTCTTCAGCGGCGAGGCGCTGGACGTCGTGAGCGCCGACGCAGGAGGCCTACCTCCTAAGGCCCTCGTGGGCCGACACCAGGAGCTGCAGGCCACCTACCTCAACATCTGGCGGCGCGTCGTGCTCAAGCTCTCGCAGGAGAACGTCGAAGAGAGCTACACCTTCTGGTACCGCTTTATTTGTTTATTTTATATTATTTTTGTTATTGTTATTTTTTTCTGAAGAATGATTTAGTTAATTCTGTGATTATTGTATTGTATTTCTTGGGTGCAGTGGTAAGGTGATCACGGACGACGAGGTGCTGATCCACCTGCGGGCATCAACAACAAGATGTTCCTGTTCACGTACTACCTGGCCAACGGCATCCTGGCCTACTACAAGTGCGACTACAACCGGGCCATCGAGTACTTCAAGCTGGCCGAGGAGAACGTGCTGGGCGTCGTGGGCATGATGACCAACGCGCAGCACAAGTTCTACTGGTCGCTCGCCCTCCTCTCGCGGCTCGTCGCGACGAAGGGCGGGGACGCCGCCGAGCGCGCGGAGGACGGGCAGCGCGAGGCCTGCCTGGAGCAGGTGACCCGCAACCAGACGCAGCTCGACCGGTGGGCGCAGCACGCGCCGGCCAACTACCGCCACAAGCACATGCTGGTCGAGGCCCTGCGCACGACCGCCATCGGCGAGCACTGGCTGTCGATGGACCTCTTTGACGCCGCCATCGAGGGCGCGCGCGAAGGCGGCTTCATGCAGGAGGAGGCCCTCGCCCGCGAGTTGGCGTCCCATTTCTACACCCTTCGCAGTACGCACTCGTGTGTGTCGTGCGTGTGTCTTGTGTGCGTGTGTCGTGTGCTGACATAATGTCGACAGAGCGCGATCGGGTGGCGAACGACTACTTGAGGGAGGCCTACTACCTGTACCTGCGATGGGGCTCGGTGTTGAAGGTCCAGCAGCTGCAAGACCGACTGCCGCGTACCGACTCGGCGTCCAACCTCGTCGTCCGCTCGGCCTCGCTCTCCTCCGTCCACCAGCACCTCAGCAGTGGCAGCGGCAGTGGCGCGGTTGATAGCGTCAGTCTGCCCGCCATGATCTCGACCGACTCGCTCAGCCACTCGCTGTCGCAATCGTCGTCATCATCGTCGTCGCCCAGCGCAACGACGCTGGTGGCGGGCGGCGACTACCTGGACCTCATGACCGTGATCAAGAACTCGCAGGCGCTGCTGAGCGAGGTCGATGGCGACAAGCTGCTGGGCAAGCTCATGAGCGGCGTCATGGAGAACACGGGCGCCGACCGGTGCCTGTTGCTGCTCAAGCGCAAGGACCGATTCCTGGTCGAGGCCAGCGCGCGCTTCGTCGCCGTCGACGGCGCGCAGCAGAAGCTGCAGATCTCCACCTCGCTCGGGGCCGAGGTCAAGGAGGTGGCGCTCCCGCGGTCGGTGATCAACTACGTCACGACCAAGCACGACACGATCCAGTTCGACGACGTGCCCAAGACCGAGCCGTGGGTGGACGACCCCTACCTCGCCAGCGCCAAGCCACGGTCGCTCCTGTGCACGCCCATCGTACACATGGGCCACCTCCTCGGCGCGCTCTACCTCGAGAACTCCTCCATGATGTCCGTCTTTAGCAAGAGCCGCTTCTGGCTCATCTCCATCATTTGCTCTCAGGTACTCAATTCATTTTAAACACCGCACGCACCACACACACCGCACACCGCACACACCGCACACAGGGCATACGCCGCACACGCACTTGACTGACGTGTGTGTTGGAATGACTGCAGATGGGCATTGCGCTCCAGAACTCGCGGCTGTTCGGGCAGCTGAGCAAGCGCAGCGCCGAGCTGCAGGAGATCAACACCAAGCTCGAGGACGAACTCGCCGAGCGACGGAAGATCCAGGAGGAGCTCGAGAAGGCCATGGAGCTGGCCAAGGCCGCGGCCGTCTCCAAGAACCAGTTCCTCGCCAACATGTCTCACGAGGTACATTCATTATTTATTTTATGTTATTTATTTATTTATTATCTACTTCTATTTATTCGTGTGCCTCTCTTTAGATTCGAACGCCTTTGAACGCGATCATCGGAATGACTGGTCTGCTGCTCGACACGCAGCTCACGGAGACCCAACACGAATGGCTCAACCTCATCGAAGTGTCCGGCAACGCCCTTCTTTCTCTTGTCAGTACGTCGCACCACCACTCCACACCGATCCGGCCGCACACGCTCACCGCACATGACACGACACGACACACACAACACACACAGATGATATTCTTGACTTGGCAAAGATGGAGAGCGGGAAGGTGAGTCTGGTGATGGAGGAGTGCTCGCTGGCCGACAGCATGCGCGAGGCCATGGCCATGTTCGTGCACGCCAGCCAGACGAAGGAGGTCAAGATGAACCTCCAGCTCGACCCGAGCTGCCCCAAGATCATTCTCACCGACAAGGTGCGAACCACCAACTCAGCCTACCATCACCACACCTGACAGCTCCGTGTTATGTCGTGTGTGTGTCGTGTGTCGTGTGTCGTGTGTCGTGTGTCGTGTGTCGTGTGTCGTGTGTCGTGTGTCGTGTGTCGTGTGTCGTGTGTCGTGTGTCGTGTGTCGTGTGTCGTGTGTCGTGTGTCGTGTGTCGTGCCATAGCTTCGCCTGCGTCAAGTGCTGTTAAATTTGCTTAGTAACAGCATGAAATTCACGCCCGCGGGCGGCTCGGTGGCGCTCTCGGTGTCGTCGCGGCGGGTCAACGTGATCGAGTCGATCAGCGTCGATCCGACCTCGGGCGAGCTCACCACGACGCGCACGCTGGTCGACGACTCCGCGGCGGGCAAGTGGGACGAGGTCCACGTCAATGTGCGCGACACCGGGCCGGGCGTGGGCCGCCAGATGCTCGATCGCCTGTTCCAGCCCTTCACCCAGGGCGACGGCTCCTTCTCGCGCAAGGCCGGCGGCACCGGCCTCGGGCTGGCCATCAGCAAGCAGCTGGTGACCCTCCTGGGCGGCCGCATCTGGCTCGACGCGGCCGTCACCGAGGGCTCCTCGTTCCACTTCACCATCGTGTGTCAGAACGTCGCCGCGATGATGATGACGACGACGACGCCGACGACAGTGACGATGGCGAGCGCACTCGCTGCCGAGCCGCACTCGCCGCGGAGTCCCATGCCGCCGGCCAGCCTGATCGCGCGCCGGCGGCCGTCGCTGGGCCTGCCGCTGCCGCCCCAGATGGGCTCAGTCGTGATCGACGCCTCGGGCGACGTGTCGCCGACCACGTCGTCGACCTTCGCCGCCGTGCCCACTGCGCTGTCGTCGCCCCGGAAGAACGATGGCGGGGCGGCGCAGCTGGTCAAGTCCAGTTCGGTGGAGCTCCATCGACGCAAGGCCGAAGAGAAATTCGGGGCGGCCAGCAACGAACCCAAGCGCCCTCTCATTCTCGGTAATTACTCCGCAAAGCGCACACGCACACAATCGCACGCGCACACGCATCATCGCACACATACGACAATCGCGCGTGCTGACTTTGGTGGTAAACGTACAGTGGTGGAAGACAACAAGACCAACCAAAAGCTGCTGTTGCAGCTGCTCAAGCGGCTAGGCTTCGTCGCCGACGTGGCCAACGACGGCCTCGAAGCCGTCGAGGCCTGGCACAAGAAGAAATACGATGTCATTGTACGCCGGCCGCCATTTATCATTCCTCGCATTCTTGTCAAGAATCTCAACTAACCACGTACGATCTCATCGTGCTTCGTTCTTCTTCGTTCTTCTTCGTTCTTTGCGGCGAACAGTTGATGGATCTGCAGATGCCCAACATGGACGGTCTGACGGCGGCGCAGGTGATCATGGCCGAGTGCAACGGTGCGGCGCCGCAGATCGTGGCCGTGTCGGCCAACGTGTACGAGAGCGACAAGGCGGCGTGCTCCGCGGCAGGCATGGTCGACTTCATCGAGAAGCCCATCAGCCTCGCGCTCCTCAAGTCCTCCCTCGAACGCTGCAGCAAGCGGGGCACCTGGTGATCACAGCTAACCGGGGTTATTTATTTATTTATTTATTTTTATTCACTGGTCTTTTATGTGGTTTCAATTTTTGTACACTTCGCAGCCTCCACACCACTTGGGCTATACGATCAAACAACACAATATTACGAATTGAAATATAGTGAAGTTATATTTATAAATAAAAAGATTAGTCCTGCTTCAACGGCGCGACAGGTGCGCGCTGGCCGCGCACGAAGCGCTGGAGGCACTTGCCGAAGCGGCGCAGGTGGTAGGCCCACACACGGGCGAGACCGTTGACGACCCAGCCGCGCGTGCGTTCGACCCAATCGCCCTCGTGCCGGCACACCACCTCGAGCCGCCGGTCGCGCCCGTGCCACCGAATGATCTCGGCCTTCATCCATGACCCGGTGTATACCTCCACCTCGTCCTCTCCAACAACAGTCGTCTGCTGGATCGGCTCGTCGTTATCTTCGTTCTTCTCCTTCTTCTGCAGCTGCCGTTCGAACGCCTCAAGTTGACGCCGGAAGCCCGAATTCGGCCTCACAATCGTTCTGTTATGGTTCACCGTTCAGCCACCGCACACGCACACGCACACATCGCACACGCACACGCACACATCGCACAACTTACCGCTTGCCCTTGACCAGTGCCAGGGTGTCGTTGAAGGAGAGGCCCTCGGCGAGCATGATGTAGGAGATGAGGCAGGTGGCCGAGCGCGAGATGCCGGCCATGCAGTGCACCAGCACCGCGCCGCCAGACCTGCGACCCTCCTCGATGAAGCCGTGCACCACCGGGAAGTAGGACAGCAGGTCCTGCCCGTCCTTGTCCAGCGCCCGCACCACCATGTGCTCGAAGCCCGCCCACTCCTATGCGTGAACGAGTGCGTGTCGTGTCATGTGCGAGCGTGTGCGGTAGAGCGTGTGCGTGTGCGTGTGCGGTTAGCGGGTGTGCAGCGAGAAGGGAGAGCGAAGGCAAAGACGCAGCAGACCTGGGCGTCGGGGACGAGGGCCTGGTGGTGGGGGTAGAGGCCGACGGCGACGGAGAGGATGTGGGTCACGTTGCGTCGGCGCAGCTCGTCGGCCTGCAGCGAGTCCTCGAAGTTGCCCAGCCAAATGCCCGGCAGCACCTCGTGCGCCGAGAAGGGCGGCGGGTTGTGGTACTGCAGCCGATACCTTGACCACAACACCAACCACTCAGGGTAAGACAGTAAAATCAATTAAAAAACCAATTCATCAACAACTCAATCATACCAGGCGGCCACCAGGGCAATGCTGGCAGCAATGCAAATCTCCCAGAGCATCATGTTGTTGGGCTTGTGAGAATTGTTTTTATTTTATTATTATAAATAAAGATGGCCAGCAGATGGCCAGCAGACGTGGCACGCCATTCGCTGAAGAAAACGAACATTTTTATCAGCTGACGTGGCATCAAGTTCACTGAACCAAAGCAGTTTCCACGAAACTAGCCTTGCTCAGCGTCCCCGGAATTAGCGGGATGGGTGCACATGGCCGGCTGGTTCATCGAATGACATTTAATCCGTAGGCCCCGAGTTCGAGTCTCGGGTGTGGCCGCCAAACGCTCTCCTTCGGGAGAGTGGGCCACACTAGCTCAGTGGTAGAGCAACGACACGAAACCTCCAGCAGCCGCAATCACCTGCCTTTTGTCATGCTTTTTTTGATGCTTCATGGTCGATTGATTGCCGTATGTTTGCTCTTTACATTTGGTCATGTTGGTTCATACATTCATTCATTTCTACAGTGACTGACTAGGCCACCTCCGATCGGGTCGGTAGGATCTCGGACCGCCGGCGGAGCTGGAGCGAGGAGGGCGGCGGCGAGGAGGGCGGCGGAGAAGCAGAGGCAGAGGCATTCGCCAGCGGGGTGTCCGGTGTCCACTTCCGCAAGGCGGCCACGAGGTCCTCGCGCCGGAGCGGCTTGAAGAGCACGTCGGACATGCCCACCTCGAGACATCGCTGCGCATATTCCTGACGATACTATGTCAGCCTGCTTATATTACATTGACTTGACACAGGAGCGATCAGTGGTGCACGAATAAATGTGTACCTTGGTTGCTGAGGCGGTGAGGGCCACGATGGTGATGGGCCGGCCGTGCCGCTCCACTCCCATCCGCCGTATGCGCTGGGTGGCCTCGAATCCGTCCATTACTAGAAGAGAAGCAAGACCAGCGTCGGTGAGTACCAAGTGGTGAAGGTGACTGGCCTCACGTGGGGGTACGGGCTGGTACCAGGCATCTGGCAGTCCATGAGCACGATGTCGAAGGGGCTCTCGTTCAGGTTCTGAGTCAGAAGCTCGAGGCACTCTTCCCCGTTGTTCGCCACCGTGGTGTTGCAGCCGAGCGTGGAGAGCATGCGCAGGCCCACCTTCTGGTTGATTGCGTTGTCCTCCACCAACAGCACGTCCAGGTGGCCGAACAGGCAGTTTGTGGTCTGGTCGGTGTCGTGCGCGAGCGCTGATAGATACTCTGTTGCCTCGCTGGAGTCCTCGTCCACCACCGGCAGTGTAAAGCGACACCTGCAACCGCGGGGGTAAGCGATTCTAGCACTACAAACACGACACGACACGCAATACGACACACAACATTCAATTGAAGATGGTGGTGATTACGTGAAGGTGGAGCCGTGGCCGAGCTGGCTCTCGCACTCGATCGAGCCGCCCATGGCGTGGCACAGCTGCCGGCTGATGGCCAGGCCGAGGCCGGAACCGCCGAACTTGCGGCAGACCGACGAGTCCAGCTGTGAAAATGGCTGTTGGGTTGCGTGGTGGGTGAGCTAACAGACACGAACCGGGTAGTCAATCAACCAACCCACTCACACTGTTCGGTAGCGTACCGCGAAGAGCAGCTTTAGGCTGTCTTGCTTGATGCCGATGCCGGTGTCCGACACCGACGCCACGACCTCCTCCGGGTGCTCTTCGTCGTTGTAGATGCGCACCGACACGGAGCCCTTGCTCGGCGTGAACTTGCAGGCGTTGGAGAGCAGGTTGAACAGGACTTGCCGGAAGCTGCAGATGCAAAGATGCGGCGCATAGGGATGAATTGTAAGGCGGTGGTAAGCACAACAAAGGTGTGGCACACAAATGTCGCTATAAGATGTGGTGCTCGCGCACCGAAGCGGGTCGCCGAGATGTAGCGCGTGCACCACCTGCTTCTGGAAACAGAGGTTTATGCCCTTCTTGTCTAATGTATGAGCAATGGGGTCAATGATTGAACGCGATGCTAATTGAATTGCCAATTGGCGGTGGTTGTACCGGCGGTGATCTGTAGCAGGTGGACGGCCTTCTGGGCCTCGGCCACGATCGAGAAGGGGATGTTTTCGAGCTGCATTTGGTTGCACTCGATGCGCTCGAAATCGAGGATGTCGTTCACCAGCGACAGCAGATGGTCTGCGCAGTCTGGAACACATCAGAACGGAAGTCAGACGACTGCTGTGGCGAGTGAGAGAACGTGTTAGATGCAGTACTGGAGATGATGTCAATGGCGTCGTTCACGTTGGACGAGGGGTCGATCATGTCCTGCAGCTCGCGGCTCATGGCGATGATGCCATGCATCGGTGTGCGCAGCTCTGTGAGCCCACGACACAGTGAGAGTTCAGTGTCGGTGGGCCGGCTGTGGAGGAATGCAAGGAATGTAACGAAGCGTACCGTGGGACATGTTGGCGAGGAAGTCGGACTTGGCCTGCGTGGCCCGCCGCAGCTCGGCGTTGATGACGTCCTTCTCCTTGAGCGCGGCTCGCAGGCGCTTCGTGGCTTGCACGCGCGCGTGGTGATGGCACGCCGAGAGCGTCGTGAGCAGGATCCACAGGAATATGTCGCAGTACGACCCGCCTGGTCGTGTACAGCCCACCACCATCGTCAGCATGACCATGTCAACTCGTGTGTCGTGTCGTGTCGTGTGTGTCGTGCGTTGCAAGAGGAGCACGCACCTAGGACCGTCTGGCGGAAGGCCATGGGCTGAACAAAGGCCGTGAAGCCGCAGCTGTGGCGGAGGTAGCGGAGGAGGGTGGTCTGCACGCACACGGCGACGAGGGCCACCACGCACGACTTGACCCCGCGGGCGTGGAGGAAGAGGAACGGGATGGCCAGGAACCACGAGTAGACGTCCCGCTCGTCGCCGTCGGTGAGCACGACGATGGTCAAGACGACGTTGAGCAGGCCGCAGTAGACGTACAGGCCCACAATCAAGCCCGCCCCACTCTTCGTCGAAGATGATGAAGAAGATGAAGACGTAGAGGTTGAAGATGGAGAGGCGAGCGGACGGTAGATGGAGATGAACAAGAGGAAGGCCGTGGCCAGCCCGAGGATGACGGAGGCCGCCGCGGCAAAGGACAAGTCTTCGAAGCCCACCTGGATTATTCCCAGCACGCTCGACCCCAGGCAGTTGATGAGGATGAAGAGCTGGAGGAACGGCTTGCGGTAGTCTTCTTCTTCTTCGCCTTCCTCACCGACGCCACGCGCCCGGTCTGCCTCATCGCCTCCGGTCCGCAGCTGCGCCTTGTGTGCAACGTTGACTGGATCGGCCGCCGACGACGTTGTGGAGTCGGCGACTTTGGGCTGCGTCTTATCAGGGCAGTGGTGGCCCAGAAGAGACGATGTGAGCGCCATCATCAAGTACTGTTCGCCACAGGTGGTGAGTGGGAGCAGCGCCTGTGCTGTGGTAGTCAGGCGGCTAGCGGACCTAGGTCTTGATGGTGTTCTCGCGCTATCTTGAACACAACTGAGGGTCAGCGAGGTGATGCTGGCCAGGCACCAGCCCCCAGGGGAGATCGATACACAAGCGTGCACGACGAGTGAACGACGTGGTGATGCGGGGAAAATCTGTCGTGGGCCGATGACCTCTTTTGGCCCAGCCCCTCGACCTGTTCGAGAGACCATCTGTGTCCGGAACTTGTGGTTGGCTTTGGGCGAGCGCTATCTGTCCT